TTCTAACTGTCAGGAAATTTCTCCTCAGTTCTAAGTTGCTTCTCTCCTTAATTAGTTTCCACCCATTGCTTCTTGTTCTATCCTCAGGTGCCTTGGAAAATAGTATGACTCCCTCTTCTTTGTGGCAACCCCTGAGGTATAGGAACACTGCTATCATTACAAAATTACAAAATTTAATTTTGTTATTTGTCTTCATCTATAAATTCTGTGTTCTTCCAGTACTGCATTGCTGACTAGACGTCTCAAGTAAACAGTTACAAACATTTTTTTTAAAAATTAAAAAACACATGGTTTCATAACTGACAATGGTAAAATAGACACAATCAGCAACAGAAAACAATGATTATGTATCAACTCAGCACACAAAATACCTAGACACTCAAGGAAAATGGAAAGGCACTAGAGCAAAAGAAGCCGTGATTCTTCTTGACTGGCACTTTTGTTTATGAGCTTGTATGCATGGTGAAGTAAAGAAGAAAAAAGATGGGTATCTTTCAAGTCACTAATCCTAGAATGATCTTTTCAGTCATGTTAGGTAGAGTGACCATTATATGGAAGTGATCAAATTGAGGACAGACAAGAGGGACAAGGTTTCCAAGCAGTCCACCAGTCCAAGTATCATGAGATCTATAGACAAATCCTATGTTATTCAATAATGTTACACATGCACATTGCAAGATTATGGCATACATTTTTAAAATCCTACTGGCATTCCATACTTTATGTCATCAGACTGATCATTAAGGCACTTCTGTTGTTGATTTTAAAGATCTATAATATGTTGCTTTGTTTTCTTTTTAATGTATCCTAAAATAAATTTATTAGTATTATATGTAAACTCTTAAAGGAAAAACTGCTACATATAACAAATTGGAGCCCTCCTTAAGTTTCAAGGAAAAATACTGTTTTGTGTAGAGTAATCAGCATCTTTTTACCAATATAGGAAAAAAGTTTATAAATCTGCAATTCTTGTTTTTTCATCATTTCTGAATGAGTTTTTGCCGAAAGCGATTCCTTTATAGATTAAAAAAATAAATGCTATTTATAATCATGGGTGATGTCTTTTCTGAATGAGTTTTTGCCGAAAGCGATTCCTTTATAGATTAAAAAAATAAATGCTATTTATAATCATGGGTGATGTCTTTATTCACTTTTGCCTATCTAAAAAGATTGTGTAAAGAATCACCATATCAGAAAGCAGTGGCTGTCTCCGTAAGTAAATGCTGGGTGTTGGTGTGAAAGGTACATTATTTGAACTCTTTCTCTCGCCCTGCCCTGTCCCACCCAGCAACCTGTTTGATATGGTGGAACACACGCTTTTATTATTGCTATAGCAATAATAGGTATATTATTATAGTGTTCTTCATGTCAAGGAAGATTATGTTTGTAGCTGGCCTTCTTAAATTCTGCACTTTGCTACCATATGTACAGTATATATTGCTCTGAGTATAATGGTAGCTCTGTATTTCCCCTTTCTTGGATTTCCCCTTCCCAATCTTATCTTCTATCTAGTATGACAATTTGTCTGAGAACTCCCAGACAGAATGTGGTTTAATGAGCTTATCAAGATCAGTAAAGAATCTGAATGAGTACCAAAAGGTCCATAGATAACATCTTCATTTTTACTGCCTCCTTAAAGTCAAATTCCACTGCACACATATACACAAACATGTTCGTGCGCACATACACAAAGAGGGGGGGAGACACAATATTATCCTTTAGGATAGACGGAACTACATTTGGGTGGGGGGGACCACATTTAACATTTTCTAGGAGAAGAACTGCAGTAGATACCTATGAATCTTCAGTATGAATTGGTATAAAGAGTTAGGGACATGTAATCAAGAGCAGAATATTTTTTGCTGAAGATAGCAAAAAAATGTCACTCAGTATTCACAGTTGTGGTCTTGGGAAGCTCTGAGATCGTCAAAAAAGGTGCAGAGTAACATCTGGCCCTGGGATATTAATCTGCCCACATCTGCTTAATGAGAAAGTTGATGTATTTAGAATGTTGTTGCATTATTCAGTGCTTCTTGATTCTTTCATTTCAGAAAATCACACAGAGGTTTATTTATCACACAATGTATTGCTTTAGGAGTACAAAAATATTTTTATTAAAAGTTTTTGCTGTTTAAGAAATATTCTTAGTTATTCATCTATTTACTTAAATCATTTATGTTAAATACTTTTGCAAGATGCAGTTCTGTTTTATTTTACAAAGAGGAAATCTCACAAATCAGACTAGATTCACACAAGATATTCAATCAAAATGCATTTTGATTAGTGTAGATAAGAATATTATGTAAACCAACCATGTAGTTTATAAAGTTTGATATATAAGTTAACATGGTGGATCAACTCAGTCCAGTGCATTTATTCAATAAATCATGCTTAGCCCAGCCTGAGACTGTGACACAGTGTTTTGAGTTTGAAGTATTCAGGATTTATTTAATCTAATTTACTTGATGAGAGAAGATAAAATCAACACATATCTGTATACTGAGAACTGACACATCTAAACAGCTCTTCTCCAGGGGATCTCAAGGAATTTGTGATTATAGATAAAAGCCATAATCTTGATTGTATTTCACGTTGGAAACAAAAAAAAGAGATAGGAAACCTGATTTTGCTGCTCAAAAGAAGATAAGAAAAGGAATAGACTGTCATTCCTTTTTGTCTCTAAGCCTCTTGGGAGACAACTGGAGCCAACCCCACTCTGTTATTTCCCCGATCAAAGACAGAGTAGTACTGGCCAATAAAAACATCTCCCAGAATCCAGAGTGGATCAGTTGCAGATTCTATATCTAAACCTTGGAAGCCGCTGGTGCATAGGTTTATCCCATCACTATTGACCTAGGGGAAAGAGGATATATAGGTTTAAAAGCAATTAATATTGAATTACGACAAATCATATTCAGATTTGTATGCCAACATTTACACACACTCAAAGGCAGTTTTAAATACAGGAATTTAAATGCTAGAAGTTGAAGTCCTTATATCTGGAAGATGATTTTGTTGGGAAAGATTATTGTAGAACTACCAAGCACAACTAAGAACTGATGTAGAAGGAAGAAGGCAATGACTGGACATTGAGCCAATTGCTTTTTAGCATAAATTAGAAAAATTCTAATTGTGATTTGCGCACATGAAGCAATTATGGCATTTCTAGCCTGGATGTGAAACATGTAATAACATGTTTCTTAGTCTGTAAATTTAAAATAAAAATAATAGCAGCACTAATCCAATATTTTGAAAGTGCCATATTAAAGAAGAGTGTATTCATGCTGTATAAAGAGCTTGAAAGAAAATTTGGAACTTTTCTATTATATATATATTGAATTTTATATGCCCAAGATGGAAAGTCACACTAATTTTCATAATGGAAGAATGGATGGTAAAGGTGATGGAGTGGACAGAGAAGGTAAAAGCAACTGTTTTAATTAAAGAAAAGAAATTATCAAGTTTTATTTCCATTTGGAAACCAGTTCTGGATTTTGTATTTGAAACTGAAAAAAAATTGAAACCCTATTTTTAGGTTTTGATGATTAGAATTATTTTGTTGTTACAGAAATGGCTTGATATATATAGAAATGTATAGCAAAAAGTTGGGGCTGTAATTTTTTTTTTTTTTTTTTTTGGCATGCTACTACACTGAAAAGTTAGAAGCCACTACCTTTTTCTTCCCTTGTTAATCTCTTTCTGCACTTTTCTATTTCTCTCTTTAACTTTCTCAATGTTTGTTTCCACTGGTACCTTCCATTTAGCCATTTTGTCGTATCTGAATATTACAGACCCTTCCTATTCATTTCCCTTTCTCCTTTCATGGGCTGATCTATAGCCCTGCATCTCAAAGAATTCAAATAGAAAAGAAGTAGAGTTTCTGCACTGCCATCTTCAAAGGATTCTTGTGTTGGTATGACAAGACAGGCTTGTAGTAGGCTGTCAAATCTATAATTTATGACATTAGCACTATCATTTAAAATAGCTCCCTACCATAACAAAGAAGTAAAGTCTGAAAGGTACATGTAAGCTTATACAGTATATAGATGCCTCCAAGTCAGTGTTATATTATGTTTTGGAATGAATATATTCTTTATTATCTTTTTATATATGACTTCTAATAGTGACTAAGATGCTGGCAAGAGGAAGTAGAATGCTTTATTGTGGTGGAAGGGATCATCTCCTTTCCCAAGGAGAAAATGTCTTGCAAAAAAAGAAGAGGAGAAAAAAGGCCCCGGATTTGTCAATGCTAAATGTATAACTACTATAGATAAAGGATTAGAAATAATTGTTAAAATGAAGCTATTAGACTTCATAGCTAAATCACCTGATCTAATCTTTTGGATTAGCTTCAATTTATTGAGATGCCTGGAAAATTCAAAGACTGTGTATATTTTTATGTCATTGTTATTTATTTAATAAGGCTAGAATAGAGGTGGAGGCTTGGAGAACTGCTCCTTAAATGTTCTCTTACTCTGTAAATTGACGTATAAAGATCAAGTAAGCTTTTACTTATTTTTTTGTTACACCTTAATTTATAGGTTAGCCACAAAATTAATAAAGATTTTGATCTAGTATAAATGCGAATCCCCCCGCCCTTATGGACAAACAGTCATTATGGTAAATATTATTTTCCCCACTATACTTTTTAAACAGCAACAGAGCTTGCCAAACACATATGCCACAATTCCTTCTTTCCTTCCTTTCTCTCTCCCTCCCTCCCTCCCTTCATTCCTTCCCAGTAAATGAAGGGAATTAGGGAAATCTGTCATTTCCTCAATTTTTAGTTTTATTATTTTTATTTATATCCCATTTTTATAAACAATTCAAGGGGGAAACATAGCTTATTTTCTTCCCAAGAACAACCCTATGAGTGAATTGGGTTGAGAGTGAGTGAGTGGGTGGTCCAAAGTAATCCAGCAAGTTTTCATGCCTGAAGTGGGACTAGAACTCACTGTCTCCTGGTGATTGGCCCAAAGTCACCCAGCTAGTTTTCATGCCTGAAGTGAGACTAGAACCCATTGTCTCCCAATTTCTAGCTTGGTATCTTAACCACTACCCCAAGCTTGCTCTTTTTTATTGGTATCGTTATTTTGTATTTATTATAATGGTGATTAAAAGGCATTAAATATCTAGCTAATTCTCATTAAGCAACCTTACTAACAGGGGAAAATTTCAATTTTTTTTTACTACTGGTTCTCTGGGCGTGGCATGGCTAGGTGAGTGTGTCTTGGTGGGTGTGACAGGGGAAGGATACTGTAAAATTTCCATTTCCACCCTTCCTCCTGATCAACTGGGACTTGGGAGGCAGAGAATAGATGGGGGCAGGGGCAGTCAAAGGTGGTATTTGCCAGGTCTCTGAACTACTCAAAATTTTCGCTATCGGTTCTCCAGAACTCGTCAGAACCTGCTGAATACCACCTCTGCTTTCTATGTAGTGCAACCTCAAAAAGTCTACTTTGTCCTTTTTTAACTTGTCTTTTCTGAATCTCAGCAGTAAAAAAGCAACTGAGCATCTGAATAGGAAGCTCTTACTAACACATCAATGTTCTTTCCCCATGTCCCAATACAAAGTTACAGATAATAACCCATTCTTTCCCAAGAATGACACATGTTCTGCTATGCTGTACAGGAGGAAATGAGTGGCAGCACTTACCATGACAGTGTAAGCCTCTGGAGTAAGAGGATAAGCGTTTCCATTGATTGTGAAAGTGACAAGAGGCATCACATTGAGATTGTTGCATTCCACAGCATACTGTAAACAATTGATATATCTTTGTAATAATGAACACCCAATATTTCAATTTAAAAAATAAACAACCCTAGCTAAGAAGATGGACAGTATCTATTTTGCACTCCAATCTTTTTCTTTTTAATTATGCTTCCCTCATAAGATATTATACACATATGTGAACTGATGTCTTCAAGTATGCTAAAACATTGAGCAAGGTTTCAACCCAAAAACAGATAAGATGCGATAAGAATTAGGTGTCCCTTTTTACCTTTACTTCTGTCTTGTTCAATCTATCTCCCATCAAATGCTGTTTTTTTAATTTAAGGAAATTGTTCTGAAGTTTGCCATGTTTAATATGCAAACACACAATATATTAATACAGAGAGTAATTAAAGGCTGATAGCTTGAGGCGAGAGAAGGATCCAGGGCTAACTCCCCAAACCCCTTGCTCCATACACTGCCTGCCTCCCACACTTTTTTGCTCCACAGCTATAGCCCCATTTCTCACTCTCTGGGTAGCACCCACCAATTGCCTTAGAGGGTCTTCCTCTCAGAATATCTATGAGGCACCTAATGGGCTACCAAGCCACTCTTAAAAGTTATACAATGTTGGGCAAAAAGACAGATGCTTCAGAAGCTAAATCAGGATAAGACTTGGCCTAAATCCACTGCTTCTCCTAAGCCATCTTTTTAAAGGATCTGCTTCACCTTTTGCAAAATGGCAGTGTAAATTTTCTTTAAAGTTCAAAGAACTAGAACATAATGAAATTGAAAGAAACAAAAAGAGAAAATGAAAGAGTAAACTAGGTTCGTAAAGAGATAATTTTAGATTTAAATTTATCCTAGATTTAGCACAAGGATTAGGATTCTGTTACTGATTTACAAGCTGGGACTTACCTCATCATCCATAGCTTGTGCCCCGATTAATTTTTGCATTTGCTTTATGTCTTTAGAAGGGCCTGTGATGAGAGATGTTCCTGTATCCACTATAGCCTGACATCCATCTGCACAAAATGCAATATTCCCACCAACCTGGATACTGAAGACAAGATGGAAATAAATTTGAGGTTGTTGGTGGTAATGCCTCTCCAAAATATTTACAGTGGTACCTCTTCTCCCAGCATGATTATAGGTTGACTTTGATCCTGACACTGTTTTTTTTATATTTGTTTAATGTCTATCACTTCATTACTGATTCCTCTTTGCAAAGATCTATGCGGAGATATGTGGTGATGGATATTAGAATATTTTAAATGAACAATATTTCTGGTTGTACAATGGGAAAATATCTACGTCTCCTAAAATGGGGACAATAGTGAGCTTAGCTTAGAGTAATTAATACTCTTGCTTAGCTAAGAGTAATTAAAAACTGATTGCTTGGAATCAGTTCAAACTTATTCCAAGAGCACACTTGGAATATGGCATATCACAAAGTTGTTTTGTTTGCCTCTACCTGTGACTATAATGGTCCTGCAGGAATCTCCTTTTTTCTCTTGACATACGGATAGTCTAGAGTGACCTTATTCTGTTTGCAAAAATCACAAGATGCAGAAAATGCTATATTTAATATAGTAAATCTAGTACTAAATTATTATCTAATTGTCTGGAAATTTGCAGTCTTACTACTTTCATGAGCCTAGTTTAAAAGCAAATACTTCTTCATTCTGCAGTTTCTTAGGTAAGAACTGCAGTCTATCAATAACAAGAGTTATCTTGCACATTTGATATAGTTCAGGCATTCCATAGACACTGAAAGTTTAGAATTTATGGTTTCTGATTTCAAACTTTCCTAGGAATTTTGGTATCAAGAAAGCAAAGTTCAGTAAATAGGGGAAGTCTTGGTGTTTTAGATTCTGTAACTTTTTGGAATGAAGCAGGAATCCCTCCATAAAGACAGCAATTAAATTTGAAGACTTTCTGAAACCTCAGCATAACTTGGGATTTTACAAACTGTAGAAACTTCGACAACATTTAAAGCATTGTTACTTTGCTTTTCAATATAAAAAGATTTAGAAGGAGGGATAGAATTATTTACAGCATTTCGAGAATTGGCAAATATTGTTGTAAAGACATCTGTTGCAGACAATGATGTAATTAATATATATAATCACCTAAATCACCTTCCTGGTTTTTAAAGTAGTGAAAACTCTTTAATTCAAAGGATAAATATATAGCACATCCAGCCAAATAGTTAAAAGATGATTGCAGCTCGTTGTAACAGTAAAAGACTGGAGATTTATGATGCAGATGTGGTGCTTCTGTAAAGATTGGCAAGTCTGAGTCCTAAATGTGCAATTACCCTGAATTCTAGCATTTATCAGAGATAGAAAAGTAGCTATTATCTCCAAGAATCCCCCCTTACTTCCAAATAAGATATGTACTTATCCAGTTGGATCTGCCAATATCCCTGCTTAGTGACTGGAATCCAGTTCAGATTTCCACTGAAATAGGCCTCATCATAGCCACCAAAAATCAGTTCCCCTCCAACAGAAGAATAAGGGTTTCTGAGGAGAGAAAGAAGAAATAATTGAATTGAGCATGAGCCTTTGCTTTGTGTTTTTTCTATTACATAGTCATACTTTCAAAATTCTAAACCTGAAGAACATAATTGATGCCCCACATTTTCTAATGCTCCACATTTTCCACACTTCTCATGTCAGCCCCCTGGCTGTATCTGGATCATGCCCGTACATTGGGCACAATGATGAATGGAATATTGACTGAGTCTGAGAAAGTAAAGTACACAGATATAACCAATTATTCTTTCCAATACTAAATAAAAATAATGGAATCTGGTTCCAGAAGTAAGAAGTTCACCAATTTATAGGGAAAGAGAAAAGCCTCCCTATTTCTGCTACAGAAATGGGTTTTTTTTAATAGCCAAAGGAAACCTTGGTATTGGCTTTTAATGATTTCAAAAAAAAAGCAGGTGCTAATCTGGATGGCAACTTTCTACAGTATTGGGAGGAAGAGTCACCTTTTTATGCGTTACCTGTTCATGTAAACTGAGAATATTGGTAAATCCACCAGGTTTTGAGCCATCATATTATCAAATACAGGGGTCACACCATCCACAGCCAAGGATGGATAGGCCAGACCAAGTATCCCATCAAATTCTGAATCCAAAAAGGTGTTACCAGGTTCAGAGACACTTTCTGCAAACTGTTGATTTACTATGGTGAGTCCTTCAACCTAAAAAAATAGAAATCCCAGATATGAATTTTAATCTGTGGCAAGAAACTAGTCATACCATAGTAATGGGCCATGTAATTCTTTTATAAAAGAGAAAGCCTTCTGTCCTTCCTTCCTTCCCTCCCTTCATTCCTGAATTGGTGTTTCATCATGAAGATTTTGGGCAGCTAAAATGCTATTTTGAATAAACTGCACCACATCTGACCCAGCATATTATCATTCAAAGTCAGGTTGAATTTCATATCATCTATCTTAAAACTTGCAGAAAACAACACTCATGTTGAGAAATGCTTCTAAAAAAAGGAGGAACACACAAGGACTAAAGAGTCCATGATGGAATAGGGACAGGTTTCCCCTGCAGCTCCATGCATATCTTTAAAATCTGCACCAAGTCATTGGGGCAAAGCCCCTCTGGGGCTTGGAAGACCACAGGAGGAAAAAAAGGGAAAAGAAAGTACAGTTGCTCAAATACTCTAGAAGGTATATTTCATCAGTATTCTCCTAATAAATCATATGCACTCACATAGAAAATAAAAACAAAGGCTAATGATGATAATTTATTACATGGTTCCTTGGTGACATGCCACCAAAAATATCTTATGGTTCATTCTTGTAATGTGCTACTCATTTTCCCTGAAAGGACATTTGACACTGTAAAGAACTGTGCTTTGGAACTCAGTTGAAAATTCAGATACTGTAGCCTCTACAAGCTGGATAATGCCTTACTGTATCAGAGTATAATTGGTTAAATGAGAAAGCATCATATTCTTTTTAAGTGAATAGCATCTTTCACTTACAGTCACTTGATCCATTCCAATTATTCCTGTCAAGCTACCAGTGCCATAGTGAATGGAAAAAGAAGTACCCACTTCAGTGTAGGTGCTGGACTGTGATGGGTGAAATCTGGAGTGTTCAACTGTAATTAAAAAAAATAAAAGAAATCTCAATGCTCGTATCTGTGGCCTATGGATTTTTCAGTCCAGCCCTTTGCATATTTATTCAAGTACAATATATACAAGATTACCACCTTATGAATCCACACAGCTGTATACAGTTAATGGCCTCTATTGAAAATAAAGTCTTTAAAACAAAGCAATATGAATGTCCTGCTTGTAGCTTCAGTACAAGATGGTCATTTCGCACACAAGAGTTGCCAATGATCCAGTAATGAAAATATACTGATGACTGTTGACTATGCTAATCTAAGTTATACAAAAACTCCATATGCATATAGTCATATTTCACACGTATATTTTCTCAAAAATAAGTTGTAAATAGAGAATACTTACAAAAAAGTATGCAAGGGACATCTACCTTAAGTTGCCATTCATGCTGTTTTATCTTTTATGGTGAAGCTTCTGAATAAACATACTTAGTATTGTGCTACTACATTATTACAAGCCTTTATTTGCCCAATTACTTTACAGATAGGACCTTCTGTCTTCATATCAAAACTGTAGGAGATGACCAGGCTGAGCCCAAGGGAGGATCAAAGGCATCATCAGTCATGAGTCCCTTCACGTCCACAAGAGACCTAAGTCCAGCTCACCATCAATTCCTTATCTACTGCCAAATTGCTTCAATCATTAGTGGTTCAGATTCTTGTAGCGAGCTTAAGCTTGCAATAAATCTTTATACACAACTGCCTGGATCTCCCTGGCGCTTGACAAAAGCTCTTTTTTCTCCTGAATGAAATCTTATTTTAGCATTTATCACTGTAGATGGCAAGATTTGGTTTCTGTTTTGCAGACAAAATGTTAGGGATATTACAGCATACTACAAGTACAACAGAATGGCTATTGTATTAAAAATCTACTCAATAACTGAATTTCCACTGTTGAACATAGCAAATGTGCTATGCAATGATTGATGTGTGCAATTATTTATCAATTTATCAATGACAATACATTGCTATACATTTGGACTTATTGGAAGCATGAACAACATTTACTGATCTGAATAATGTTAGTTCTATAAGCATCGGTACCTCTAACATAACAAATGTTAACAGTTTCCATAGTGTTAACACAGCGTTCAGCATAATTTAAAATAATTTTCATAAGGTTTCTGCCATGTGTAAATCAATGTTTGGCATCTAAGAAACCCAACAAGCCTCTCTATAAGTTTTATTAATGTTTATCCCTTTAAATGGAGCAAACATCAAGGTGATGTATTTAAAGCCATGCCTTCCTTTCCCCTTGACCAATACTCACCACAAGCCTTGCTGACACAATAAATAGATGGTACCCAGAGGTTGGAAGAACCAGTGTCAAAGAGTATAGTAAAATTCTGTGGAGGGTTTCCAATGGAGATCTGTCCAAAGTATTCCACCTGCCAAAAACAGGAAAACGAAGAAGTGTTTCTACTCCATATATTAGGTTGGAGAAGCACATAAAGCTGGAAACCTTCTCCAAAACCTGAGGGGAATTTTGTCAAATGCAGTCTTGTCCAATCATGCCTAGATGTTTGCATAAATGGATCAAGAGCTTAAATAGGATTTTAATTCTAGCTTTTTGGGAGGGGCCTTGCTCATAATCCAATTTTACACCTTCATTTTTTAATTTTCACCCCTGGTATTTTAATTGCAACATTTTCTTGATAAAAACATGTGTTTATTTTCCCAGGTAAAGTGTCTTCTGTTTTCCTATCAGTTTGCTCCTGGATGTAATCTTGTTTGAGGAACAAGACTATTATATAAATCTGAAATATAGAAGAAGAAGAAAAAAAGAGTGGTTTATTAGAAAGAAAAAAGTTGGCTCATTCTTCAGCCTTTCCACCATAAGCATGCAGCAGAAAGGGAGAATTCAGATATGTGTACAATTAAAAAAAAGTTTTCTGTTGTAGATATAAACACTCTGCAGGCATTCAAACACATCTGAAAAGGTGAGAAGTAATAGGGCATGAATTTGCAAGCAAGCCTGGTCCTACCCTTGCACATTGTTCATACCTGCTGTTTTTCAGAACTTTGCATGTTAAGACTTGCAGGGAGGGTAATTATGTCAGACCAATTCAACTCATTTACAAATTTTCCCATCATCACAGCAACCAATTTAGTTAGGCTAAAGTACATTGAGCTTGGTTATAATTCTCCAGTAGATTTTGAAGCAGACTCTGCAAGTTTTTTTGACACATTTAATACTTAGGGTGGATGTCTGTGCTTGTATTACACCCTAATTTTCTTTTAAACCCACTTTCAGAGTTGGCTAACATAAAAGAATATCGGGAGGTGATGGAGTATGACATAGGTGGCAGTTTATTTCTTGTTTGTAGAAGTGCTAAATTGCCAGTTTGCACTTATATTCAACTTTTATGTTTGCAAATGTAGCCAAATATTTCACAGTCCTCTTCAGCTTCCAGTGAAAACTTTGATACTACTGAAACATCTGATGAGTAAAGGAGAAAGATCGGGCAATATATTTTCCTTTTCTCTTGGCAGACAGTTGTATACATCCATGGCCTTGGCTCTGGACTTTAGCACAGTTACAAAGCAATGCAATGCATTGGAGCACATAAATATAGAGACAGAGCCCATGTTTACAACTCTTTAAGGTAATTATATTTTTTCTCCAGATCATAATGTCTCATACCAATAAAACATAGAAATGATGAATTTTTATAATGCATATGTATAAACTAAATTGAGTTCGTTGAACAATTCCTTCCTCGATGGCCTCATGATATATAATAAACTCCTGGATTTCTATAAACTGTGTTCAGAGATGGTATTCAGCCAGTTCTGACAAGTTCTGGAGAATCAGTAGTGGAAATTTGGAGTAGTTTGGAGAACTGGCTAATAGGCTGGCTCTGTTCCCGCTGCTTCCCAGCTTCCCAGATGATCTTCTTTTGTTGCCCTGAACAGGGGAATAGAGCTGGAAAGCAGGTTGGTAGGGTGGAGAGGGAATGGGGATTTTGCTATATCCTTCCCCTACCACGCCCACAAAACCAAGCCCACCAAGCCATACCAGGTCCACCAAGCCACACCCACAGAACCAGTAAAAAAATTTTTGGAGCCCACCACTGTGTGAGTACAGGGTGAGAGTTTAATAAAATTAAATTTTGTCATTGAAAAAACTGGTGACATTTGTCTTCTTTGTAGCTAACACATCCCCCCCCCACAACCCGGTCTCATTCATGCTTTGGCTTTAACTTACATCAAAATAGTTAAAGAGAGGTTCATTGGTTTCTTTAAATACTGAGCAGTCTTGGGTGTACTGTATCATGTCTATCTTATATTTCTTCCAAAACTGAGTCAATTGCCCACGTTCCCTCAATATTTGCCGCAAAGATCGGTGTCTTTTCAGGGTAACTCTGGAGAGGAGAGAAGGAGCTATATGCTTAATACTGATTAACAGAAATAAGAAAATCTGGAAAGCATTTTATTCTAGTACAGGCAGTATGGGAATTCCACTAAGTTTAGGATTGTAATGGGTTATTCATAACCTGAAAACTTTGCCTATGCTACACATGAAAGTAATTATGTATCAAATTCAATACTTGAAAACAAATCTCTCTTTTGCATAATTCTGAAATAAATCCAATCTATCACCGTAGCAAATAGAACTCCTGTGATTTATCTTTCATCTGGCAATCAGTGTTATCCATTAGGGGACTCCCACTTGCAATATTTGATGATTTGCAACTCGATGACTCTTCACCCTTAATATATTTATGAACAGTAGTTTTGGGGATACAGGAATTTGGAACAGAAAGTACAGTACATCAGGATGGATTTATAATATTTTGAAGAGAGTAAAATAATACCCATAGTTCAGAGGTGGGTTGCTCCCGGTTCAGCCCAGATCAGGCAAACTGGTAGTAGAAGTGGTTGGAAGTTCCGCATACCCATTCGGACAAGCACACGAGTGCGCCCGAACCAGTAGTAAAAAAATTGGCAACCCACCACTGCCATAGTTGTTTTGGGGGCCCTCCCGTTCCAACAATTAATTTGTTCACATTTATCTAAATGCATTACTGATTATTCACAAAACATTACTGATGTGTTTATGCTCTAATACTGAAACTGTGCTGTACTGATATTGCAGGAAAATAAAAGACGTTTCAAGGGACTGCTATGCCCACTGCAGCTTTATAATTGTAATTTCTAATGGTCAATAGGAATCATTGGGGCAGGGGGCAGGGGGCAG